TTTGTCAAAGCGCGGACGTATTTAAAATGGTGTTTTCTCCTCGTTGAGATAGGTTGAGATAAATTTGAACACACCAAACCATAGACATTTAACTTGGCTTTATGTCTCACGTAAAATTGAACGGTGCTTTTTTGTGCTTTTTTCATAAAATGGAGTTATTTTGCAGCCTTTATAGTTTTCCGTAACACTGTCATTGTAATGTCAACGATTGCACTGGCGCACGAAAAAAGATTCACGCTGAATATTTTTGGAGTGTCGGCGGCAGTTAGTTATACCAATAATAGAAATGAAATCAATTAGTAAAAAAACACTTTACAATGAGCTTTCAATGGATTCCGAGCAGGCCGGCTGGTTAACACAAAAACGGTTATATATTTAAGTTTTCAAATTGTTCGAGCAAATTGTAGTTGTTTTTTTCAAATTCTAGCTGTTTTAAATGCATGCATGGTCAATTTTGGGCTATATAATTATTGAAAAATAATAGCCAAGCAATGTCAGAATATTCTTACTGTGAAAATGTTTATCCTACCTTCGCATTATGAAGTAAAATATCCCATTTCATACCAAAATTTTCGTATAGTATTTTTGGAATACGCCCACATTCGATCAGCTCGATTCCTTTTCAAATTTTTATTTCGCTCATGATGAATCTTTAAAGCCCTCTTTCCTTCATCAGATATACAGAAAATGAATCCAACAATGTCTTCAAACCATCAAGTTGTTTAGGAATGTGCAGAAAACATTTTTTACTTTAGTTTTTTCAGCTCTTTTTTGCATAAACACTCCAATTCCATTTTTATTGACATTAAATTAATGGATACGGGGGGGGGTTACGGGCATCACACAAAGATCAGGGGCGCTATCTCCGTTTCACCGCCCGTGTTTATAGCGCCCTGACACTGCCACAGAATAAAGACATACAGAAGTGTATCTTCTTATTAAAAGTGCGTAAGGGATTTTTTCAGTCCGCCATGTTCTTAGCAAGTGCCCTAAAGAGAGGCAGTCACCCCCCTGAAAACATATTGAAAATTTAATATTCCAGGGGGGGTGAATGCCTCTCTTTAGGGCACTTGCTAAGAACATGGCCGCCAGCTATTTTGGTAAAAAGCGCCTTACGGTTTTGTAATGGAAGTTACACTTCTGTATGTCTTTATTCTGTGACACTACCAAGCATCACTGGGATTTTTTGCGCTATCCCCGGCTATTTCTACCTACGAATATGTGTCCGGTCTTGTACCCGGGTATGAAACTACAGGTCAAATATCGTATGGTCAAGTGTATTGGAAAGGTATAACCTGTTTTCAATTTCAATCTGTGTAATATGTACGAATTTTCGCCAGATTTTTGAAGAAAGACCAAATAAAAAACAACGATGAGTAATCTACCAGTTACTTCACGTCTAAAGGCTCCCACAAGCAGAATTGGGAAGCCAGGAGCGGCGAAATCCGAGGCGATTGCAGCGCCAAGAGCTAGCGGTTTGAAAGCACCTTCGTCTTCAGTCGAAACTCCACCACAAAAAAGTGGCTTGAAACAGCCGCTTTTGAAACGATCTGGTGGCGGTCTGGAAGCACAAAGGACTGAGAAAAGAAGTGGTTTGCCTTCTGCAAACGCTACAGCGCTTTCAACTCCACGAAGTAAACAAAACGGTACTCAAAGTAAACTAAAACTTGGGTTAGTTGGCCCAAGGAGTACCACAAGTAGTGATTCAAGTACTCCGTTAAAAAAGGAAAGTTTAACTCCACGCGAGGGCTTGACCACAAATTTAAAACGACAATCTTCTAGCTCGCATAGTTCTTTAAGCAAAGAATCGCCCAGTCCAGTATTAACCCGAGAAAAAACACAAGAATCTATCAAAGATGAAACGACAGGAATATTGTTCAAAGTTGGCGACCGTGTTCTCGTTGCGGGTACGAAAGCAGGGGTCATTGAATATTTAGGCGAAACCAAATTCGCGAAAGGACTTTGGGCCGGTGTAAAACTCGACGAAGCAGGCGGAAAGAACGATGGATCTGTTGCAGGAGTTAAATACTTTGATTGCGAGCCCTCGCACGGTGTTTTTTCAAAACCAAACCGGCTACATAAAATAAATATTGTCCCCAAAAGTTCAACATCGGAACATCATGCGAATTTGGACGATTCTAGCACCCTGAAAATCGGCGATCGGGTTATAGTTAGCGGCACAAAAATGGGAGTTTTAAGATATTTAGGACCTACAGAGTTTGCTAAAGGTGAATGGGCTGGAATTGAATTGGAAGAACCACTAGGAAAAAACGACGGAGCCGTAGCAGGAACACGGTAAGATTGTTACACCTACTCCTAGTTTGTTTGTGTTTAATATTGACGTTTATGTAAGCACTGTAAATATTGTGTTATTGATCGTAAATGTTCGGTAAACTTTGAAAGTTTGGCAATTATAATGTGTTTGCACAAATTAGATATAATTTGTTTGGTATTTAATCCTAATGATCGGATTTTCTCATTAGTTTTCTCGTCAATTCGTGTAGTGTACAAAGTTTATATTGGGTTAATATATAACTCTCTGTGTGAGGCTAATACCCTGTTGCACCCCCTAGACTGATAGTCTAGACTAGGGCAGTAATATTAGACTAGGGCAGTGGTCATATTAGCCCTACATATAGATGTTTATAGAAGACCGAATATTAGCCACAACGTGCCAATAAATTGTCCTAACCTATTTGACTCGAGCAGTGCCCAAACAAAAGTTAGGCATCGTTTTATATTTGGTGTGTGAGTTTGTTAGTTTGTTGGGAACAGGCCTCGAATTTCCCTGAAATCAATCGACGGCAACAGTGCTAAAAATTGGCGTAGAACTGTCTACGGCAATTTTGGCAGTTTCCATGGCATTTTTCAAATTACTGTAAAAAACTTTAATTTTATTGTTACTTTGGTTTTTGACAAGCTAGAAACATGTCTACGTATTTCTTCAGTGTTTTTTTTTTTCGAAGAAAACTGAGACTAAAACGCATTATTTGGTCAACATCTGAATTCAAGTATCACTGAAAAATTCAAAATAGTAATGCACAATAAATAGTATAAAAATTGCACTATACGGCAAAAAATTGCCGTCGTTGCCACAATGATCCACGGCATTTTGTTCTCCCTCTACGGCAATTGCCGCGATAAACTTCGAGCCCTGGTTGGGAATCGTAAGCCTTGGTATTTATTCAAAAATAATGTCTTATTTGCACTAGTCTTGTGGTTCACTTGTTTAACCCATTGCGTGATACTGGGTTTTTTGAAGAAACGGTTTTTCAGTTTTGCGAAAGTCCAAGTACCGAAAAACCAAAAAAGACAAAGAACTGGGAAAAAAAACAAGATAAAAATGCTAGTGTTTCACCTAATCCTAGCTGAAAACTTGTAAATACGTTCTTTTACATTGTCTTCTTACTTGTATTTTTATACCTCTGCAGTAAGCTTTTGAGCATCTAAAATAATAAAAACACATACTACACGGTTTTATGTCTTTGTGTTATTTACAGGTTAAAAATCGGTTTTTCATTTTTTCCCCACTTTTTTCCTGACGGTTTTCGGTTTCGGGTTTTTTCAAGAACCGCCCCAGCCTAGTGACAGCACTCTTCCCTTTACAAGTAAAATTGTCTGGCATTAGACAGAGTAAAATAATAAAGTAGGGCACATCAGGATGCTTTGGCACTTAAAGGATGCATGGGCAGATAGTCTGATTAATTCATTGAGTGGCAACACTATCCCGCTTGACAAGTAAAATCATCTGGCATTAGACAGAGCAAAATAAACTGCCAACATGCTATTAAATGTGTTAAAAACAGAACAAATTACAGTGAATCACAACAGATTACAGAAGCCGAAGTGGGATACTCTTTGTATTTTGACTGTAATGGCTTCAATAATAATCATTTGTTAATGTGATAGGTATTTTACATGTGCGATGAAATATGGACTGTTTGCACCATCATCAAAAGTTACAAAATCCAAGAAAAAAGTTTTATCTAAGAAACCGTCAAATTCGTCTGGGCCTTCGCTTGACATTGCTGCAAAGTTGGTGTTCAATAGGACAGGGTCAATCAACTCGGATATCTCGTCTGTGTCTGCCGCAGCCCCAATTCCTGGATCACCAAGCGAAAGGATTGCTGCACAAACTAATGTGAGTCCATTATGATATTGGGATGTTGGTGGTACTTTGATTAATGCATGTGTCTATCAACTCCGTGACTGATGTTGATGCCTGCAAATTACAGTTGTCTGATTATAGTTTCTCCTCGGGTACATGTGAGAAGAGTGCTTCTTCCAGTTTGACTCTATTAAACCATTGAGTGGCAGCACTCAGGGACGTCGCTATAGGGGGGGGGGGGGCGGGTGTAACACCCCCCAATAATTCAAATGTTGGTCAACGTTGGTCAAAATGGAACTAATATGTGCCCAAAGTTGGTCAAAATGGAACTGATATTTGCTTAAAATTGAAGATAAAACTTGGAAAAATTTGGTGAAAGTTTGGGAAATAAGATGGTCGAAGTTGTTAAAAGTTATGAAATGGTTCACACTTTTAACAATTTTAAAGCTTCAGTTACGTTTGCGGTGACAAAATCGGAAGCATTGCTTTTTTGGTCGAAAAATTTTGAATATGCTTATAATAGTCTGGTAAATTTTTTTTGACTATATTAGGCCGGAAAAATTTTTGACCCCCCCCTCCCCCCCCCACTCCCCCATCGACAACATTTCCGGGAAAATTTTTTTCAACTTGGTCAAAATCCTAGGAAAAGTTGGTCAAAACATGGCCACACACACCCCCTCCCCCAATGTTGATGGCTTCGCGACGTCTCTGGCAGCACTTATCCCTTGACAAGTAAAATCATCTAGCATTAGACGTTATTGAGTTAAAATATCAATCTGCTTTCAGGAAGTTACAACGTCAAATGAATCTCTTCATTCTGGTGTGAAGAAAACACTTTCAAATTCCCAACAAGTTGCTGCGTTGCAGGTGTGTGCTTTTTTTTGTGACCAAAGTTTTAGGTGAACGTATATCCGGAAACTGCATTTTATTCCATTTCAGAGCGCACTGGAGGAGCGAGAACGTGAAATTCATAAAATGTTGATGGAAAGAGAATTAGAGAAAGCAGAGAAACTAAAAGATTTAGAAATAAATGCCAAGGTAGTTTTTGAATAAATATGATGAACATCACATGGATGTTTGCTAAAGACTGATTCTATCGATTTTAATGTTGCTATTATTCAGTTTCTTGGTCAGTCAGATAGTCGCTATGACCTTCAACCCCTCTTCCCGCGTACTGACTCTGGTAAACAAACATTTCTGTACAGTGCTTCCATTCTTTTTAATTGCTTAGATAGCAATTGTAAGCAACTTGCTGCTTTGCCATCTTGCTCTTCATATACTAACGCCAAACAAAAAATTTGTAAAATCTTTCTTAACAAGCTTAACCTTACTAACCATATCGAAGATCTATTTTGTATAAATTGTAAATATTTACTAAATTGTAATTGTATTCATGACTAATTTTTTGTTTCTCATATGTAAATAGTTGTAATCTTTAATACTTCTTATGCCTGTAAGTATCAAAATAGTGTGAGGGCCGTATGTTAGATAACTTTTATGGTTAATACGTTTTCCCTCCTGAAATAAAGTTTCTATTCTATGTTGGCCAGTTAGTCTGTAGGTTGATTGTTCGGCCAATCAGGAGGTAGGCAGCCATTTAATTGATCGTCAGTCCATAATAAACCCTTGTCTTGTTAGTGAGTCATAAAGATTTTTATAGGAAATTCATTATTCTTTCATTGTTTTATTTTCTAGAGCAATAACAATGCCTTCAATGATCAGGTAAAGTAATTAGTATTCCGTAACAGTGTGCATTCATTCTGGATCTAACTCGTTTATCATCTTATATTTAGTTGTTGAAGGAGAAGGATGACATTGTCAACGCATTAAAAGATAACTTGGAGAAAGCGAAAAAGGAAAATTCTGTAATTCAAGCTAATTTGGATGAAGAGAAAAAGTAATATGATGCAGTCTTGATTTGATTTGAGAACTCTTTCTCTGATAATGGGGTTAATAATATGCCTTGATGAATTGCAGTACACATTATATACAATGCACAAGTTGTAACAAAGCTGCAGCAGATTTGTGGCAATGCTGTTTCAACTTCTTATCAACAGCATGTGTTTGCACTGCCTGTTCCCAACAACTTGTTGACAACTTGCCAGGCTTTTAGCCAGAAGGGCGTCCAGGCATCCTGCGACACCCCTAGAACAAAAAATGGACGCCTTTGGACGCCCAAATTCTGGGGGAAAAGGGAAATTATTTTCAATTATTTCCCTAAGGATATTAAATATATCTGAAACGTAATAGCTTCAATTCTCATTATTATTATACATTTGATTTGACATTTTGATCAATTTGATGGTGTACCTGGCTGAATGAAAATGTTGTAGTTAAGTAAACAAGCATAGCGGCACAAACTCATAAAGCCAAGATTAGTGTGTCTGAAAAATTTCGAACAAGCTTGGAACAGATGCTGCCATGAAGTAACATAAACTATTAAACTTCAAAGGTTTTCCAGAGGAACGTTTTCTGGAAACACCCCCCATCTTTACTGTAGATGTATCGTTGTGCCAAAATTGGACGCCCTCTTTTAGGACCCTGGCTAAAAGCCTGCAACTTGCTACAAGGTTGTTGAACTCAACAGACTTGTTACAAGTTGTTCCAACAACTTGTTATCGTCCTGCAATGCAACAATTTTTCATCGAGTTGTAAGTGACAACCTTGTAGCAATGGTTTATCTTTTAGAAAATATGAAGATTTACTATTTATGTTGGAGGAGGAAAAGATCACAGATGATGAGTTGAAGGTTTGTAAACATTGCAGTTTGTAAGCAGAGTACCATAAGATTTGCAATAAACTAAACTAACTTTATTCATACTGTAGATAGCTCTGTCAGTTTTTTTAGCCAAACTGGTCTTTCCAGAGCTCCAGTAAGATACATCCTTTATTGATCAAGTCTTACCACAGGATATCAAGTCTAAACTAAGCTAAATATACAGGAATTGTTTTTCATGTTAGAACCATGTAAAAGAGGATGAAGATAAGCTCAAAGAGCTCTCCAGCCAGTATGAAGAAAGAAATATGAAAGTAATAGAACTTCAGAAAGAGTTGAGAGAAGTTCGCTCAGACAAACTCACTGATGACGCCAAGATGTTGGAACTGCGAGATCAACTGGCTGAGTCAAGAACAAGCTTTCAAAGTCTTAAACAAAGTATGGAAACTGATGTTGAAGGTGTGGTGATTAAACTAAGTGAAACTAACTTTATTTATACTGGATAGCTCCATCATTTCTAAACTGTTCTTCTTTGAGGTGCAGTAAGGATCATCTCTTATTGATCCAATGTTACTACAGGAGGAAACCTAAACTAAACTAACTTTATTTATACTGAATAGCTCTAGCAGTTCTAACCTGTTCTTCCTAGAAGTACAGTAAGGATCATCTCTTATTAGTCCAGTGTTATAATACTACAGGGGGAAACCTAAACTAAACTAACTTTATTTATACTGGATAGCTCTATCAGTTCTAAACTGTTTTCCCTAGAGATCCAGTAAAGATTATGTCTTATCTATTACTACAGGAGGAAAGTGGAAACCTAAACTAACTTTATTTATACTGGATAGTTCTATCAGTTCAAAACTGTTATTGCTAGAGGTCCAGTAAGGATCATCTCTTATTGATCCAGTGTTACTACAGGAGAAAACCTAAACTAAACTAACTTTATTTATACTGGATAGCTCTACCAGTTGGAAACTGTTCTTCCTAGAGGTCCAGTAAGGATCATCTCTTATTGATCCAGGGTTACTACAGGAGGAAACTTAAACTAAACTAAGTTAAGTTAAGTTTGTGCTTATAATGAAACCTGACTAACATTTATGTGTAGACAATGATCAACATGAGAACCATGTATTAGGAACACCAGTGGACACTGTAAAACAAGACCTGGCTCAAGCGAAAGAAATGTTAAATGAGAGAGAAAAGAAGATAAACGAACTGGAAGCGAAATTAAATGAACAGTCAAATAAACAGAATGAAGTTGAAGAAGAAAACAAAAAGGAAGTAAAGGACAAATTATCAGCCGCAGAGGTGAGCGACTGCTGAACTTACTCCTTAAATCCATTTCTTGTAAAGAGTTAAACTTTGGACAAATTGTAAAAAGTGTAGAAAATATGCGCAGGAACAAGACAAGTTGATGAGAGTTGCAACCTTCACTCGCATTTCACCGTCAACTCGCATGCATTTTCATTAACTTTAAACTGCTTCAAATTTTAATGAGAATTTTCGTCAGTCAAGTATCATGCAGCTCATGCGACCAGGACATGAAACTCTCGCTTCTCAACTCTCGTGCAACTCTTGTTCTCGTTTGACCGCGACATGAAAGTTGAGAAAACTTTCATTGAAACTCTCGCTTCTCAACTCTCATGCAACTCTTGTTCTCGTTTGACTGGGTCATGAAAGTTGAGAAAACTTTCATTGAAACTCTCGCTTCTCAACTCTCGTGCAACTCTTGTTCTCGTTTGACCGCGACATGAAAGTTGAGAAAACTTTCATTGAAACTCTCGTTTCTCAACTCCCATCAACTCCCATGCAACTCTTGTTCTCGTTTGACCAGGACATGAAAGTTGAGAAAACTTTCATTGAAACTCTCGCTTCTCAACTCTCATCCAGTGTTACTACAGGAGGAAAACTAATCTACCGAGACATGAAAGTTGAGAAAACATTCATTGAAACTCGTTTCTCAACTCTCATCAACTTTCATGCAACTCTTGTTCTCGTTTGACCGGGACATGAGAGTTGAGAAACTCTCATTGAAACTCTCACTTCTCAACTCTCATCCAGTGTTACTACAGGAGGAAACCTAATCTCCCGAGAAATGAAAGTTGAGAAAACTTTCATTGAAACCTCTCGCTTCTCCACTCTCATCAACTCTCATGCAAGTCTTGTTCTCGTTTGACCAGGACATGAGAGTTGAGAGAAACTCTCGCTTCTCAACTCTCGTTTGACCAAGTCTTAATTCTTACTTGTTGAGCTGAGAGCGCTGGTATAAATGGATACGTTATTTTACAGAATGAAAAACGAAAAGCAGTCGACTCACACTTTTCAATTCTCGTTTGACCAAGTCTTAGTTTTTGCTTGTTGAGCTCAGAGCGCTCGTATAAATGGATACGTTATTTTACAGAATGAAAAACGAAAAGCAGTCGAAGACTATCAGGCCATGAAACAAGAAAGGGAGCAACTCAATAAAGAACTCGCCAGAATAAAACATGAAAAAATAGAAATTGAAAGTAATCTTAAGATGAAGGAAGGGAAACTCGAAACTTTGGAAAAGAAATACAAAGATGTTATGGAGGAAAATCTTGTTGCCTCAAATCAGAAAGACGAAGCTAGTAAAGTAAGAAAAATCTAGAATTGCCAGATTTATGCTAGTCTTAAGGTTACAGAACACCTTTGAGTGTTAATTTTGCCTAATTTTTTTTTTATTGGTTTCCATGAAAGCATTAGACTAGTTCTACTATCTGACCAAGTTTGAACGAAAAATGTTGAAAACTCGTAGAATTATTTAATAAAATACATTTCGCTGCAATTTACGGTAATTACTGATTTTCAAACGAGTTGTGCTCCTGTGGGTTTTAACCAATTTTTCTCAAATTTTCACAGGACATAGCTAAACACGTCAGTTTCAAAATTGTGTTCGGCTTTTTTTTAATTTTGGATATTTTAAAAATAAAGAGCAATTCACTCAAACAATTCAGAAATATATTGCAGTCGTCAAAGAAATCGCCATATCAGCGGAATGACGAAATAAACAAAAATTTCCGAACACAATTTTTTAGAACAACTATTTTACTGTATAAAAATGATATTTTCATAAATATAACTTAAAACCAGCAGGAGCACAACTCAAAAGCGTAACGGTACCGCGATTTAAGATTTTCCTGAATAATTCTTACATTATTTTATTGTTTGTTAATTTTACAACTTTACCATATTTTGCATGCACCGGAGAACATTTGGTGAAAATTTGATGAAAATCGGACTGATTTTGAGCGCACAGTAGCGATTTTCCGCAAAACGCCAAAAAGGGTGCCCTGTAACCTTAACTAAACTCCCCTTACAAATGAGTGAGGAACTCGATAAACTAAACACCTGTCCGACAAATTTTCCTAGGTGAGCATGATCAACCTTCATAGAAGAATTTCGGAACTGGAAGGTCAAGTGATGGAGTCAAAAGCGAAGGTTTCTCAACTTGAAAGCAACATGGAGCTGGAAAACGATATTGCTCAACAGAAGACGAAGCAACTTGAAAACCTGTTTGCAAATACAAGCAAGCAGCTTCAGGAAAGCAAAGAAGACGTGAGCAAGAAGCAACAACTTGTGAATGATTTGGAATACAAGTTGAACAGTCAGTTAACACGGCAGAAGGAAATCGAAAAAGAAGTTGAGAGCTTGGTTAGTTCGCGAATGTTTTTGTCAACAAAATGTGTTCGCAACAGGCTTGTAGCAAGCTTGTCAGCAAGTTGTAAAAGTGCTGTTATATTTATCAAGTTGCTACAAGGTTGTCACTCGCAACTTGTTATTGTCGATTTCAAGTCGCTTTTCAACGCACGGTCCCCCAACTTCGTTGCGAACTTGCCAATAACGTTTCCAAGTTCGGAAATTGGGCGCGAACTTCGCAACAAAGTTCACAAGTTCATTTCAATGTTTGAACTTCGTTTGTAAACAAATGTTCATACTCAATAATAATAACCAATTCAATGAAATACAAACCTTCTTGGTAGACCACTGGACCAAGAACTTTCCATTGAATTGTTAATTTCAACTTGAACTATATTAAGCAATTATTGGAAGCGAAGCTGAGGCGGATAACATAGACCGAGGTCTGAATAATTCTTGATATCATGCCAAAGCAGAATCCAATAATTGTTTTATTATACATTTTAAAGACATGAGAAACGTATAAAACGATTCCTGTTCATGAGGTAGGAAAAGTACAATTTTGAATATCAAATACCTTGCACAAAGTCAAAGGTCAGCTAAATATTATATTTCTACTTCTATTTACCCCTTTGTGGCTTTTTTCGTGCTTTCACTATCCTTATCTGCCATTAATTTGGAGAGTTCACTTTCATTCAGCGAAGCAAATCTGCTGTAGGCCATTGTTTGTTTTTTTCCCGCGCTTATATAGGTTCAAGCTTTTGGCCGCGCAAGGGTTTGGGCACGAGAGAGTCCAATAATTTTTTTTTTGGATGCAAGTTCGATCCAAAAAAACAATTATTGGACGCTGATGACGTCAGCGGCGGAAAATACGTAATAAATGCCGAATACTGAAAATTAGCCGGTGCTTTCTGACCAATTAGAAACGAGAATACATATTAAATGTATAATAAGAACATTTGTTCACAGTAGAAGTTCAAACGTTGAAATTTATTTGCAAACTTTGTTGCGAAGTTCGCGCCCAATTTCCAAACTTGGAAACGTAATAGACCTTTCCCCTTATGAGTGAAATTTTGATCTATAGATATGCCTGGGCAACAATTTCATCACAGCTTGAAAGAGCATCACAAAATTAGTAATATTCCGAATTTTCGTTGCGAAATGTTGTAAAATGCGGATAATATAGCCTTGCGAAGTTTGCCGTTTTTCAGTCATTTTGCATTACAATCTAACATTTTGCATCAGTTTGATCATCTGATTATCAATTTCCCGTTTGTAATACCAAATGACTGAAAAACGGCAAACTTCGCAAGGCTATATTATCCGCATTTTACAACATTTCGCAACGAAACTTCGGAATATTACTAATTTTGTGATGCTCTTTCAAGCTGTGATGAAATTTTTGTCCAGACTTGTCTAGATCAAAATTTCACTCGAGAGGGGAAAGGTCTATTGACAAGCGATAACAAGTTGTTGGAACAACTTATAACAAGTCTGTTAAACTCAACAGCCTTGTAGGAATTTGTCAACGAGCCGGCTTTCGTAGAAGCAACCCCTGTATAATTTTCGTCATCTCCATTACTTTCAGGGCGAGGCGGATAAAAATTTAACGTTAATGAAAGAGGCTCATCGCTCCGAAGTTGACGCTTTGCAATCGAAAGTAATCTCGCTCACAGAGAATGTGAATGATTTGCAAAATAAACAAAAGGTTTTGGTTCAAGATCAGCAGAGAGAGCTAGCGTTAGCGGAGACAGCTAAAAATGACGAAATTAACAAATTAAGAGAACGTATGAGTTCAATGGAGGTAAGCATGTTCTAGATATGGAAAACGTTTTTTCCGGTGTTGTTTTTCAGATTCAAACATACACTGGACCTCCAAATGCACGTTTGAGATATCTTTTTCAGGTAGTTCAGACACAAACCACGGCAGCTTATTGTAGAAGAATACTACCTACACTGGACCACCACGTTTGAAATATATTTTTCAGGTAGTTCAGACACAAACCACGGCAGCTTATTGTAGAATACTACCTACACTGGACCACTACGTTTGAGATATCTTTTTCAGGTAGTTCAAACACAAACCACGACAGCTTATTGTAAAATACTACCTACACTGAACCACCACGTTTGAGATATATTTTTCAGGTAGTTCAGACACAAACCACGGCAGCTTATTGTAGAATTCTACCTACACTGGACCACCACGTTTGAGATATCTTTGTCAGGTGTAGTTTACAAAACACGGAAGTTTACTATAGAAAAGTACTCAACAAATCTTGTCTATTTCTTTAGGCGGAACGTGGTAACTTAATTAAAGAATGTGAAACGGTAAAATCTGAGAAAAATAAAGCCGCAGAGGAACTCTCAAGACTTCAACACGACCATAGCACACTAGAACACAATCATAATACAACATCACAAAAAGTGAAAGAGATCGAAACCAAATGTGAACAACTAGCTCAAAGTAATGTCGAAATTACGGCTGAACGAAACGACGCCATCCAGGTTTGGTTTTATTTTTTGTGAGGAATCAACTGAAGTAACTTTATTTATACTGTGAAGGAATCACAAACAGGTGTACCATATACTCAATAGAATAAGAAGGTCAGGGAACTCGATGCAGACATAACAGATTTCATTATCTATGTTTTTCTTTTGGTTTATGCGAAAAATGGTCGGTTCATCGTCAAGTGTGTATTGTTTTTTTACCCAATCAACCAATAACAGTGTGTTGGTTTAATTACTCAGTCGTGGTATTACACAATGGTTAGCAATATATGCGGTTGTGTCCATCTTTTGTTCAAAATTTTTTAAGCTTTTTCTCATTTTTATTTTAGTTGTGCGAAGAGCAGGATAAACAGCTTGAAATTCTTAAAACGGGTAACGATAAGATAACTTCAGAGAGAGACTCTTTATCGAAAGAACGGGATGGCCTTTCACTGAAAATTGTTTCGCTTGAATCACAGGTGAGCATGCATCGTATGCCGTTATATAGGCGTCTGTATGCATTCATAGATTAAGTACAGCAGAGGCGGCGGAACAGGGGGGGGCTAGGGGGGATAAAGCCCCCCCAGAAGTAAAAGTGGGGGGGGGGGCTTAGCCCCCCCGCAGAAAATTTGAATTTTTGGAAAAAATTTTGATAATTAGGGAAAAATTTAGGTTATTTTTTGAAAATTTAGGTATAAGGGGACAAATTTGCAATATTTTGTTTAAAAAAAGTGTATTTCCGAAATATGTATTTCCGTTCTGGGGGGGGGGGAGGTCGCCGAAAAAATTTAGCCCCCCCAGAACGAAATCTGTTCCGCTGCCGCTGATTTAGTACAGTATGTACAGATGTGTAACTTCAGTAAAAAAGTTGTCCCACGGTCGTCATCTACCTAGCAAGTGTCGCTCGCGTGATTATTCATCATTCGGTAATATACATAAAATATATTTCACCTGCCAAAAAAATTTTAGACTGGCAGTCCATATTTTTTCTCTCATTCGAGCCCTGTCAATCGTATTTATTCATTTTCTAGATAAATAATTTGAATTCAGAGTCGAGCAGACAACAAGGCGAACATCAGCAAAAGATGGAGTCTGAAATAGCGACTTTGAAGTCTAAGCTGTAAGTAATCAACCTTGTACCCAGACTATTTTCTCGTACATTCTGGTGCTACGGCCGCCTGCTGAAGTAATTGGCTGCCTGACTGATCGACCGACTCACTGTCTGACTAAATATTATTCCGTCCTCTAGAGACGTAGCTGTAAAGGACAAAACGAGCAGTAGTGGTTTAATTAATACTTTAACTGAAGAGAAAAAGAATTTAGAAAATATCGTTGCAGTCAAAACCAACGAGATCAATAAAGTACGCAGCGATTATCATAAGGTGAGCGCTTAATTACATAATTTTTATTTCCGTAAAACCTTTCCATACATAAACATGCATTTTCTTTTCTTTAGTTGCACCAAAGATCGCAAGAATTGGAAGGTCAAGTCAGCAATCTCGAAAAGAAAATGAGTGACGCTGCTGAAAAGTAATTTAACTTTGTAACTTAATAATTCCTCAGAGTGTCAGTGTAGCTCTATCAGTTCTAAACTGTTCTCCCTAGAGGTCCAGTAAGGATCATCTCTTATTGATCCAGTGTTACTACAGGAGGAAACCTAAACTAAACTAACTTTATTTATACTGGATAGCTCTATCAGTTCTAAACTGTTCTCCCTAGAGGTCCAGTAAGGTCATATCTTTTGTTGATCCAGTGTTACAAAAGGAGGAAACCTAAACTAAACTGACTTTATTTATGCTGGATAGCTCTATCAGTTATAAACTGTTCGCCCTATAGACTATAGAGGTCCATTAAGAGCGATGCCTTATCACTGCAGTGTTACTGCAAGAGGAAACCTAAACTAAACTAACTTTATTTGCAAATGAGTTCTTCGACTGTTATAAAAGCCCATGATCACAGTAGAAATTTTGCACAGGTAAAGTTTTGAAGAATTTGTAAGAAATATTTGAGGAAATTGTTTCAGTGTTTAACAAAGAGTCCGTTTCCTCAAACATTTCTTACAAATCCTTCAAAACTTAGAATTAAGCTGTGCAAAATTCCTACTGTGATCACAGAAACTTTGATCGTATAAACCAGCCTTACCCAATGTGCTACCAGCACACCACTGATAAAGTAATGGACAACTTGCATGTTAGACTAAGTTTTAATCTAAACAGAGAAAAGGGGATCAAACACCACAGCTAAAAAGAACATACTGAAATTAGTAAAAGTGCAAAATTTGGTTGCGAAATGTTGTAAAGCTTAGAAAATATAGCCTTGCAAAGTTTGCAAATTTTCAGTATATTTGTATTACGAGCGGAAATTGTTACCATTTTCGGCTCAAAAATGGTAACAATTTCCGCAAGTAATACAAATATACTGAAAATATGCAAACTTTGCAAGGCTATATTTTCCAAGCTTTACAACATTTTGCAACCAAATTTTGCACTTTTACTAATTTTAATAAGTTCTTAACGGGAATTTACTTTTTTTGTGCCTAGATCGGCTAGATCAAAAATTTGTCTAACATGCAAGTTGTCTATTCCTTTTTTCCTCCTCCAGTGCCTCGCACAGAACAGAGAAGTTAAGCAGCGAGGTTTTGATATTGAAAGACGACTTCGAGGAAGCAAAGAACGCACTGAAGCAAAAGGAAGAGGAGGTCAGAGTTTATAAAGAACAAATTGAAAAAATGGGAAGCGAAGACTTCCCAAAATCGCCAATGGATGGTGATATATTGGGTAAGGTTTCCCGCTAGTCACTATCAGTACGAGTGATTGTATTAGTTGAGACACAAACTACAACAGCTTATTATAGAATACTACACTGGACCAAGTTTGAGATATCCTTTTCAGGTAGTTCAGACACAAACCACGATAGCTTATTGTAGAATACTACTTGCACTAGACCACCACGTTTGAGATATCCTTTTCAGGTAGTTCAGACACAAACCACGACAGCTTATTGTAGAATACTACCTACACTGGACCACCACGTTTGAGATATTTTTCAGGTAGTTCAGACACAACCGTAGCTTATCGTTTTCGTTTTCATTGTAGAGAATGCATCCGCTTTAATGTTACGTTTACACGAAGCAGAATCCAGACTTAATGTTATCCACTCAGAAAAAGAATCGGCAGAAGAACAGGTTGGAAGAAATATAATTCTAAAATTTACATTCTCCAGTAGACCGCAAACTCCCCAACAACTTGTTTATAAACTTAAAATATTTTTGCAGAAATTTTGTCTGGCCAGTAAGAGTTTTCTTCTCTGAAGTTTTGAACCAAACGGACGTGTAGAAATACACAAATTGAAACAGCGTTCAAATCGTAACCCATGCAGGATTTGCACTAATCCAGCTTTAAACAACCAGTTCCCGGTCAATGGACCTATTACCTAATGAACAAAATTTTCATCTAGACAAGTCTAGACAAAAATTTCATCACAGCTTGAAAGAGCGTCACAAAATTAGTAATATTCCGAAGTTTCGTTGCGAAATGTTGTAAAATGCGGATAATATAGTCCTGCGAAGTTTGCCGTTTTTCAGTCGTTTTGTATTACGCACGGGAAATTGGTACCGCTTTCTGAAAAAAGGTAGCAATTTCCCGCGCGTAATACAAAATGACTGAAAAACGGCAAACTTCCCAGGGATATATTATCCGCATTTTACAACATTTCGCAACGAAACTTCGGAATATTACTAACTTTGTGATGCTCTTTCAAGCCGTGATGAAATTTTTGTCTAGATGAAAATTTTGTTCATTAGGTAGTAGGTCGATTACATTGCCTACGAGGCCAAGATAAACCTGGTCAGGGGCGCCGTAAGCAATGTGAAGCGGCGGAGGCAGCCATTTCAAAAGGGCACTTGTTTCTCAGTCATCATTTTCTGGGCGCCAATATTTGTTACAACTTTACTGTATGGGTAGATACTCGATTACCTGTGCAGGTTTTTTTTCAGGGATTTTTTAGGGCCGTTAAACGGTCCCAAAAACTCAATCTTGAATTGAGTTTTGAAACTCAATCTTATCTTCTCACCAAAGTTTCAGTGCAATAAAAATGAAGTTGTTTGAGTTATAAAATTTTGTGACGTGTGGAAATTAGTTTTCAGTTGGAAGCCCGACAAGCCATCTTTAACCAGTTTATAGTGTCCCTGCTTTAACACATTCCGTCTCAATTGCATTTATTGAGTACAGGTGTCAGCCCCCCGGTAGGGGTGGAGGGGGGTGCAGCCACCCCAACTGTTCAGCCAAACTCAATCTTCTCTACAAAAACGGACCCAAGAGAAAATCCTGGAAAAAACCCTGCTGTGGCTATTATGGGTCGGCAAACGTTGACATTAATTTTGAACAATTTTATTTGTTGCACCGTGCTATAAATGATGCAAAATAGAAGCAGTGAACAGACGTATATTGCTTGATTTAGCATTAATTTTACTGCAACTGGTTAAAAATTAAGCAGATTGCTTAAACATTGCTTAAAAATAGTTAGAAATTCCAATTCCTGTAGACAACGCACAAATTTCGAAGTGCAGTTCCGGCGAAAAGGGCAACCTGTTTCCCCTGTGCTGCCCCCGCACTGTCTGGGCAATGGGGGCGGTTGCCCCCGTGGCTCCGGCGCCCCTGGACCTGGTTTAATCTCGTGACTATACTCATTCGTATTTGTTATTGCAGGTGGAATTTCTGAACTCGATTATCGTTGATCTTCAGGTCAGTTGATTTTCTCAACTTCTCTATTTTGTTTCTTTAACTTTTTTTTGACGGAAAGCTCCATGGTGTGATGACAATGACTTCTGTTATTGGAACGTAAGAAATCTTGATCTTCTTTAGAATAAATATCAGAAAGCAAATCAAACCATCGCTCTTTTGGAGGCTGGTGATGAAGCTATCCTACTTCATGGGTTGGAATCTGAAAGGTAGAACTCTTTTGTGTAATAGAGACCTTAAGATTGACGTTTACGGCAAACGTCAAACCGCTAGCGAAGTTTTTGATTTTACAGCTCTATTATTGTAGCTTTTACACCAGTTTTGAAATATGTTAAACTGATTAAATTTCTGCTCTTTAGCAATGATTTAAGAAAGAAAATTAACCACTAGTCATGCCATTTACCAAAGCAGTAAATGAAGATTTGGCGTTTGAAGTTGACGTTTGACGTATAAATTTCATGCTTTAACGACTACAAGCCCTCGTAGCAGTTCAAGCATGAAATCTATACGCCAAACGCCAACTTCAAACGCCAAATCTTAATTTACTGCTTTGGTGAATGGCATGACTAGTGGTTAATTTGGTTTCTTAAATCATTGCTAAAGAGCACAAGTTTAATAAATTTAACATATTTCAAAACTGGTGTAAAAGCTATTATAATAGAGTTGTAAAATCAAAAACTTCGCTAGCGGTTTGACGTTTGCCGTAAACGTCAATCTTAAGGTCTCTAATATTTCAAATCCCCGACTATGTGAGGACTGGACTATAGATTCCAAGTCCGCGCAATTTGATCAAGTCCGACGCGAAAAAATGACATCTCATTATTATTATTGGTCTTTATTAATCATTTGATAAAAATACATATCAAATTTACATATTTAGAAAATTGTAACACAGAAGCTACTTAATACATCAATATTATTAAAACTATTCTATTCATTATCAACATGCAAATTATACTTAAAAATCAGTCTATTAAAAAGCTATTCTTGAAGCGTTCTGTGTTACATTTTGGCCACAGTGAGCTTTTGTTACGCAGACGCCTGGACGAGTCTTTGACTATAGGTAGCATGTGTTTAAGCGGATGATTATCGTTATTTTTTATCTTTCTCCAAATGTTACGATCACTTCTCTCTAATAGTTTGTATATATCGTAATGTTTGCTAGAATAATTTCGTTTAAAACATCTAGTTAAGAAGCACACGAGCCATAGACAGATAGACCATACGATATCGATAAATCACTTCTTAAAGTGAGGTGAATTAATTTTGATTCAGTCCAAAGACTGTATTCATTTTGATCTAGTCGAAGGACTGAATTAATTTCGATCCAGTCCTAGGACAGGATCAGTATACTTCACCAGGTATCCAGTATTCTTGGGTTTCATATGACGTCATGAATTTGACGGGGGGTCAACTCTAAATCGAGACACAGTCGTCAGAATGAATTAATTGTTCACTGTATGTGTTGGCCTTGTGTTTGGTGGCAAATACATGCAATTTCGTATCGTTTGCTTACTCCAGTACGGCATAAGCATCAATACATTTTAGGTTGACCCCACGTCAGATTCACTGCACAATGCCGTAGTGAAATTCAAGAATTATCTTGTGAGCAAAATAAAGCAATATGGTTGGAAGGTTGGCTAATGTGCTCGTGAATTATTAGTGAGTCTGAGATTAAGATATAAACATGACCATTAGCATCACCACTGTCATCACCGCCACTGCCATCACCATCACCATCAGCGCCATCACCATCAGCGCCATCACCATCAATACCCCTATCATCACCACCATAATCATCACCACCATTACTACCACCATCATCAATACCACTATCATCACCACCACAATCATCACCATCACTACCACCATCATCAATGCCACTATCATCACTACCATCAACACTACAATTATTATCAGCACCATCATCATCAGCACCACCATCACTATTGCCATCTGACCACCATCATCATCACTACCACCTCTGCCACACACCACCATCACCAGTAATACCTCTTTCCTTATTTCTCAAGCGATGACGAATTAATGGGGAAACCGAACTACAATATACGAAAGTTTTGTGACATTTGTGATGTATTTGACGAACACGAAACAGATGAATGCCCTCTCCAGGAGAGTGGTGACGATGGTGGTGGTGTACAGCACCATGGTGATAGAAACCACGAGAGACCATACTGTGGAATATGTGAGGGTAAGAAATACTGGTCATGGTATATTTTGAGAGATGATCTGCCCAGATGCATATTGAACTGGGGGTTCTGCAGATTTTCTTTGGTAACCAATCATATTTTATTCTTTGTTACATTTAGTGTTTGGTCATTGGTCAGAGGACTGTAATGACGAACAGGTCAGTAATATTAATATATATGACGTCATTAAGGAATGACGTCATTTGTCTATTAGTATCAGTGAGCTGTATAATATATCTGGAGCGAGATATTCAGTCATTCGGCCTATGAGAAAATTGAAGCCAAGATGGCCGCCATTGATGTCCACTAACTTATGTAGGACGTAAACAGTTTTAATACCATTTTTCCCAGCTAATTCTGGACCGTATCGCTAAATACCTGTGGTACCCTATTTTTTTCTGCCGACCCTATTATTTTTTTAACGCTGTTGACCGTGCGACCCTATTTTCTCCGGGTGGTTGTGGGCTACTCATACAGCGTGCCAAAATGGCGTCTGTTGTCACACCATTTATTAAACCAAATTGCCTAAATTCGTCCATAGGAAATACGCATCTCTAGTTAATATTGATGCCGGGACTCTATACTGTAAATCGCCCAGCCAAAAAACCGCCAAAACCATGAAAAAAATATTCCAAAAAAAAATTATTTCCGACCTACCGACCTTAATTTTATCACGATATGAAACCGGAACCACAGGTATTTTTTTAGGCCGAAAGAAGTTGTCAGTTCATAAACCATATTCTTAAAATCAAAATACGAAATTTCGACACACTCCTTGACCATGCAGTGAGCACGACCACTATAGTGTACTTGAGAATCGTAGCGTTGTAGCGAATTTTCCCTCATTCCTTCCTAAGTATCTTTTTTCTCCTTTTTTAGACGTTTTGATGTCATAGGTCGACTTTAATTTGCTGAACACGTAAATGTCAGGCCGGTTGAAATTTTATTTTTATAAGAATATAGTTTAAAATTTGTAAATATAAACCATATAGGGCAATTGATATCAACTTTAAGAAAGACTATAATATAACATTTCGATACAGTAGCTACATTTAATACCCGGTCGTAACCAATAAGCCCCGCGAGTATAAAAATGGAGTAATATGTCTTGTAGGCATGGCTCTCAGATATGAAAGCAAACTTTAAACTATTGCATCGTAAATGCAGATTTGAGATGCGATTTTAATGCATTTTCAGTAAGCAACGATCATTTGTTGACGTTAATATTGATATTATTTATTACTACTTTGTGGAACAGAGTTAGTTCGGTAACAACAGACAATATTACATTCGAAGTAAAAGGAATTCTATAAAATTAGTCGGTTATAATAACAACTATATTTATCCATAATAATCGTATATTAACATCAGATATATTTTGTATTAAAGTTTTAGGCTTAAAGCGATTTATGTTTTTTACTTTTCTTTTTTCATGGAGAAACCACGAGAGACCACACCTCCATAGTATAATGCATGGGCTAACTTCAAATTCAAAATATGGCAATATGCACTTCAAACCTTTTCAAAATTTAGTTGAATTAAAAATTCTGAAGTTACAGGCCGCTCCAAAAATCATGTGATGGGGACAGTGAAGCTATATAGCTATCAGAACGTGGAGTTACCTCTAAAAGTCCAAAAACCTTGGCTCTACTTAAATAAAATCTGATCAAATCAGCAGTCATGTCTTGTTTATTTTTTACTAACTGACAGGGTTCGTAGCGGTCTTTGAAATCCTTGAAAGTCTTTAAATTGGAATGCAGGTCTTTGAGGTCTTTGAAAAGTCTTTAAATTGTGTGAAAAAGCGAAGAAAGTCTTTAATAGTCTTTGAATTCTTTAGTGAGTATTTGATTATACGATTTCCTAGCTAATAAAATAGATTGATTGAAGCAAGATTTTCGCAAATATCGACAAAAAGGCGCGCGTTTTAGGATGTGATTTGACGGGACTAATTACTGGGTAAAAATGGTGCTCACACTCGCAATTGTTCGACAGCTGATTGCTCTCAAAGGTCTTTGAAAAGTCTTCGAAAATAGGCAGAAAAAATCTTTGAAAGTCTTTGAATTTTTTTGGTCTTGGAGACTACGAACCCTGTAACAAATAAAACCATCTCGGGCCGGCTGTTCAAAGTTGGATTAGCGCTAATCCTGGGTTAAAACCATAGATACTTAACCAGGGGCCGGTTGTTCAAACCTGGGTCAGTTTAACCCTGGGTTAACCTAAAATTCAAAGCAAACTTCCTGACAGCTTGTCCATAAATTTGGAACTATTTCCTCAGAGATGTTGTTTGGATCGATAGGACTTTTCATCTCTGAAGTTTAGAATTAAACAGACGTACATAAATACACAAACTAAAACAGCAGGTTAAATTTTAACCCAAGGTTAGCGCTAACCCACCTTTGAACAACTGGCCCCTTGTGCTTTGGTTTGTGTATTTGTACATGTTAAGATGACCGACTTTTGAACAAGCGGGGATTAAACGCACATTATACTTCCTACAGTGTCAGTAGACCCCACGTTTGAAGATATCATTTCTGCCACCTGTACTCGCACAGGTTTTTACGATTTTGAACACTCGACCTCGCTCTAGTGAGCAGATAAAGAAGCGTGAAATCTGATTAATGAAGACTTAGACATGTTTACGTTCACAAAAGAAAATGTGTGATCTGCTATCGCAAAACTAACGTGAAGTGTCCTGTTGAAGAACTTGGCAAACTATGTAACTGCTTTCGAAGCGCTTGCAGAAAAAAATTCCAAAGAAAGTGAATGTGGATTTAGTGGAATCTTAATAGCTTTGGTCATCTTGTTTGTAAATCAGTGAAGCGAAGAGCTTGGTCTCTAGACGGAAATCAAATAATTTAATTCGTCTGAAGATTCTCCCATTAACAAACAAAATCGTATTGCGTTAATATTAAACATGCAAGTTTGATCAATGTCACCGTGAAGACGAATTAATCCTTTGACGTAAAAGAGGATTTCACTTACAAGACGTCCAAATTAAATCTAATATGACATCCAGTATTTTGAAAACAGCACTCAGTTATATAGCTGCCACCATTCTGGCAAGTTTACTGACAATTCTCTTCATGAATTTAAGTGTAACACAAACAAAACACTGTGAGCTTTGTAGAGCTCGTTTGGGAAGAGACGCAGAGAAAATACAGGTTCAGAAAGAAGTGAAGAAAAGGGAAACCTCAAAGATGGAAATGGTTTTTCTAAAGACAGCTGTCAGCACTGGAGCTGTGTGCCTGGACGGCTCACCGCCTGGATATCATTTCAGAAAAGGTGGGTAGGTCCAGGCTTTTAGCCAGAAGAGCGTCCAGGCGTCCTGGGACGCCCCTAGAACGAAAAATTGACGCCTTTGGACGCCCAAATTCCAGGGGAAAAGGGAAATTATTTTCAATGATTTCCCTAAGTATATCAATATATCTGAAACGAAATAGCTTCAATTCTCACTATTATTATACACTTGACATTTTGATAAATTTGATGGTGTACCTGGCTGAATGAAAATGTCGTAGTTAAGTAAAGAAGCATAGCGGCACAAACTCACAAAGCCAAGTGTTTCGAAAAATTTCTAATGAGCTTGGAACAGATACTGACATGAAGTAACTTAAAATTCAAAGGTTTTCCACAGGAACGTTTTTTCGAACCCCCTCTCCCCCCCCCGCTCTTTACTGTAGATGTATCGCACGATGTATCGTGCCAAAATTGGACGCCCTCTTTCAGGTCCCTGGCTAAAAGCCTGGGTATGTCTCCTTTACGGGCAGCAGCAATCTCGTTCCCCGAGCCTGCGATCCTCGGGAAGGAACGCGAGGCTCTGGGATAATCCGTTGCCGGAAGCCAGGAATTCTGGCTAAGATTGAACTGCGCATTCCATTTCAACGGCCAATCAGATTCCTCCCTGAAACGGATTATCCCAGAGCCTCGCGTTCCTTCCCGAGGATCGCAGGCTCGGGGAACGAGATTGGGGCAGCAGATGTGGCAGTCAACTTTAGGACTATATAGCTCAGTTGGTTAGACAGCTGCACCGGAATCGCAGGTTCGATTCCAGCCAGAGGGCTTATAAGTTGTATTTTTCGCAACTGCCCCTCGTTAAGCTACGTTTACACGCTGCGATTTGTCGGGCCGATTTTGGTAAATAAGCGTTGCCCCTTCGACATTTAGCGACTTAAACGTTCAATTGAAGCTGTCCACTCTCTCGTCTGTTTATATTATAGTTTTCTGCGTGCGAAAAGTTTTCAACAATTTTACAACGAAAAAAAATCGTTGAATCGTGAGAAAAATCTGTGCTTTGTTACAGATTTTTCTCCCGATTTTGTGAATCGCAAGGTGCTGACGCGGGTACTCACGACAGGTTATTTACATACAGCGAGCAAAATCGGCCCGACAACTGATCGCAGCGTGTAAACGTACCTTTAGGCAAGGGTGGGTAGTAGCGAAGTAGTTGTAGTTCGCTACTGTATCGAACTACAATTTTCAAGTAGCCAGTAGTTTTTGACTACTTTTTTAAAACAGTAGTTGTAGTTATAGCGAACTACATTTTGCCTAAAAGTAGCCAAGTAGTTGACTACTTTTCAAACAGCGAATCGCTATTCGCTACTTTTTAAAATTGTTAGCAACTTGATAGAATAGCGTGATATTAAGACACGGTTTGCTTAAAATCAATACTCAATATTCAATTTGCACTCCTGAACACTGTATAGTGCTTACAAAAACGTTGCTTTGTGTTCACTGTTGCTACTCGTAAGTCGATTTGTTATAGGTTACATTACAGCCTGAGTTAGCAGATGCTCCAAATATAGTAAAACTAAAAAATATAGCGTAGCGAAATAGCGAAATAGTTCGCTACATTTTTTAAGCACTAGCTGTAGTCAGTAGCGAACTACCTTTGTTCAAAAGTAGCAGTAGTTGTAGCTGACTACATATTTTTGAAGTAGCTGTAGTTATAGCGAACTACAAAAAATTTGTAGTCAACCCACCCTTGCCTTTAGGTCTAATAAAATGTATAAAATTCAACTATTCAATCCATCTACCCTTCTACAAGCAGTGTATTTATACGATGTTACTGTCTTGTATCTAGGTTTTGGAATCGGAACGAACAAATGGATTATATTCTTCAATGGTGGTGCGTGGTGTTTTGACGAGCAATCATGTTATGAACGGAGCCATACTGTCTATGGCTCGAGTCGCTTTTACACGGTATTTTCCGAAAATGGGCTATACTCAAACGACCCCCAAATTAATCCAGATTTCCATAACTGGAATATGGTGTTCATAATATACTGTGATGGATCATCTTTTACCGGAATGCGGCAAAACCCAGTTTATTTCATGGCCGAATCAGTTCATTTTCGCGGCAAAGCCATACTTGAGGCGATTATTCAGGATTTGCTGTCGAAAGGGGTCCGAAGTGCTAGTGATGTACTGCTGTCTGGCAGCTCCGCGGGCAGTCTGGCTGTTCTTATTCATGCAGACTTTATAAGGTCCAAGTTGAATCCGAAGACCAAAGTGCGTGCAATTGCAGACAGCGGTTATTTTTTGGACATAGAGACACAGTACGGCACTAACAAGACACGAGACATGTTTAACCGTATGTTATTGACACACAATTCAACTTCCAGTCTTCATGAAGCTTGTATAAAGCGCATGGCTAAAGCTGATCACTGGAAGTGCTTTTTCCCGCAATATTTTTTCGACCTTATTGAAACTCCAGTTTTCGTTCTCCAATCTTCTTATGATGTATGGCAAATAGTGAACGGTCTTGATATCGTTTGTGTTATACCAAGTTATGAAGATATTCTCTTGTTCAGATCTCTCAAACGTTTACGCACTGTACGAAAAACAGTCGAGAATCCGGTAGTGACGTCATCGAGGAACACTCCACGCGGGACTGGCAATGTATCCCACGAGGCTGTAAAAGCATCCCGCGGGAAAAATCACGAGTCCCGCGCGACAGGTCACGCATCTCTCAAACGTTTACACACTGTACGAAAAACACTCGAGAATCCGGTAGTGACGTCATCGAGGAACACTCCACGCGGGACTGGCAATGTGTCCCACGAGACTGCAAAAGCATCCCGCGGGAAAATTCATGAGTCCCGCGCGACAGGTCACGCATCTCGTGGGACTAATCATGCATCCCGCGAGACAAGTCACCCATCTCGCGGGACTAATCACGCACAAGAATTGGACTCGATTCCCGTGAAAAATGCTCACTGGCAAACTCGTATACCTACAAGTACTCGCAGTAAATTTTTAGCTGAATATATCCCGCGTATTCCACGCGTGAATAGCCTTGTCCCGCGTGTTCAACGCGCGAATAATCGTGGCCAGGTGCCAACTCTGGTTTTAAATAACCGGCAAACACCAGTTTGGCGCAGTCCTAGGTGGAGATATAACTTGGCAACGCAAGATTCTTGGAACAACCCAGCTATCTCACGCTCTGCAAGTGCTATGAACGAGGTTGCACGCCCTAATAATCTTGTTCAAACGTTTAATTCTCCAGGTAAATCCAAAGTTCTCCGTCGGCAGAATCTTGACAACACCCAAACCTTTCCATTCTACAACATTCGACAAACCGTCCCTGCTCTTCACCTATCTAGTGTTAACCGAGTGCGCGCATACAGCCCTACAAATGGTGGACAAGAACCGCGCGCATATAGCGCTATAAATGCAAATGTTGCGCATTTTAGGCAGAAAAGGAAACCTGGAAGTACCCAGTTTGTTTTACAAAAATCACGCAGTATTTCTACAAAAGATGCGCAGTTTAGGAGAAAGAGAAAACCTAGGAAAACGCAAAACGTTCGACCAAAATCACGCACTAATATGCAAAAGAAGGAATGGCATTGGCTACCGTTATACAGTAGTCCTACACCCTGTACCAAAGATGAAACAGAGAAGATACTAAATATGCGCAAGATGACAATTGAAGCATTGAAACCTGTCATAACCAAACCACACAGTGGACTCTTTCTGTCATCCTGTTTTGAACATACACAAGCGACCTATAACAATATCTGGCAGAAAAGTCGAGTCAATGGGAAAAGCCCCAGAGACGCAATAGCCGAGTGGTATTTTGGAAAGCCTGGTAACCATATACATATCGGTCCGGAATTCGAGTTTGAGTCTTGTGTGATGTGAGCGTGCGCGGAACGAAATGTCGCGCGCGTTTATCTTACTGATGAGTGATGGCAGTGACATTGCGTAAGAATTGAAAATGAGACGTATTTCGCGGAGTAATATGTTGCAAGTGGATTGTAATATGAAATGTAAAGAATAATTTATTTGAATCGTTTGCATCTATATAAGAATAATTTCATACACAGGTAAACATCTCACAGCTTGTCAACAAGATGTGTTCGCACTGCTTGTTCCCAGTTGTTGCCAAGTCTAGAACAAGTTGTTATCATCTTGTAACAAGGTTGATGACGACAACAGACTCGCAACAATTGACCATTTGCGTAATAGACTAAATTTTGATCTCAACAAAAATTTCATTACAGCTTGAAAGAGCATCACAAAATTAGTAATATTCCAGAGTTTCGTTGCAAAATGTTGTAAAATGCGGAAAATATAGCCTTGCGAAATTTGCAATTTTCAGTCATTTTAGATTACAAACCGGAAATTGACAGCCTCGAAGGGTTTGGGGCTGTCAATTTCCCGTTTGTACTCTAAAATGACTGAAAATTGCAAATTTTGCAAGGCTATATTTTCCGCATTTTACAACATTTTGCAACGAAACTTTGGAATATTACTAATTTTGTGATGCTCCTTCAAGCTGTGATGAAATTTTTCTCTAGACTTGTTTAGTTCAAAATTTAGTCTATTACGCAAATTGGTCAATTTCATGACCCATCCTTATTTCCTCCGGCTCATCCTGACAGTTTCTTTATGACCAGTCCCTAAAATAAACGTCTGGATTCGGTTGTATGAAATGATAGTTAAAGTTAACTGGTTTCCATATGATCGTAACGGTCGTAAAGATCGAGACACGATCTTTCTCATCAGCCGAAATACAACATTTTAGAACTGAAAATACGCGCAGTGATTAGAACTAGAGAATACTTATGATTTATATTAGTCCAGCGGATATGCACAGATATTTGAGAAAATCATGCACTTTGTGAAGAAAGCACCAAATTCACAGGAAGTGTAGACTTTAGCATGATAATGAATCTCTTATACCGATTAAAAATTGTGAAATTGCAGGTTCACATATAGCAAAAATGACATGCGTCATTAGAAAGCTTACAAAAAACTGCATATAAGACATTTAAGCAGTTACTTTGATTTTTCAACTCCTCTGGAGTTATGAGCGGTTGAAAATGTGTTTTAGGGCTAGTGTCCGGGACTTTGGCGGGATTTTTGCCTATTTATCACGTTTTTAAATAGCAATAACTGGAAAACCGCTTGGAAAATCAATCAGCCTTTTAAAAGTCTTATATGTAGTTTTTTGTAAGCTTTTTAATCATGCAAGTCATTTTTGCTATATGTAAATCTGCAATTTCACAATTTTAAACAGTAATAGAGTTTAATAAGAGAATATTAGAAATCCTAAATTTTAAGCCGTCAGCATCAATTTTGGTGATGCCTCCATATCTAAGATTCAATATCATGTTAAAGTCTACACTTCCTGTGAATTGGGTGCTTTCTTCACAAAGTGCATGATTTTTGTACTTTTCCGCTGGACTATATGTGGTTTACAGGTATAAACTATTCTAAACTGGCCGTTGAGAAAGATCGTGACCCTATTTTTACGTCCACATACATAGAAAGCAGGCTTAAACCTATCGCATCAAGTATTCAATCTCGTTCCCCAAGCCTGCGATCCTCGGGAAGGAACGCGAGGCTCTGGGATAATCCGTTGGCGTTGCCGGAAGCCAGGAATCCTGGCTAAGATTGAACTACGCATTCCATTTCAACGGCCAATCAGATTCCTCCCTGAAACGGATTATCCCAGAGCTTCGCGTTCCTTCCCGAGGATCGCAGGCTCGGAGAACGAGATTGATCAAGTATTATGCTTACCTAATGGACCTATTCCCTAATGAACAGAATTTTGATCTAGACAAATATTTCAGCACTGCTTGAAAGAGCATCACAAAATTAGTAATATTCCGAAGTTTCGTTGCGAAATGTTGTAAAATGCGGGTAATATAGCCCTATAACATCAACTAGACCCAGTCCTCTGCTCGATTGGGAAATGGCTAATTGGGCCTTTCGGGCTAAAAGGACAAGGTTTTGTCGATTTGAGCTGTAATTAACTTTTCGAATAGCTTTCAAAAGATAATATTTATTGAAGTATATAGCTTTGTATATACAAAATCTGAGTTAACATTATAGTTAGGTGTCGCTATAAAGCTAAGTTAGATGGACTAACTTTAAAACCTTATTGAAACCTTGCGAAGCAATCTCGCATTAATCGTCTATATCTTCTAAATCTACACCAGTTTTCTGTTTGAACTCTCTCGCTTTTTCTTCAATGTTTAAAGGCTCTCGCTCAATAACAGTTGAGCCGACCTGTTCTGCTAGCTTTTGTATGATATCTATTGAAATACCAGAATCACTTGACATTCGGGAATTATCGTGGGACTCTCGACTATCTTCGGTGGACAGTCGGATATCTTCGCTGGATATTCGGCTGTCTTCGGTGGATCCTCGACTATCTTCGGTCGACAGTCGGGAATTGTCGGGGAATACTCGGCTCTCTTCGGTCAACAGTCGGAAGTTGTCGTTGGACTCCGATTCATTTTCTGGTGTATCTGTCTTAGTGTCCTGATGTTCGTCTGGAAGTTCTTCTATCAGAACTCGTTGACTGGTTTTCTGTGGTAGAATCAGAGAGCCCAATGGATGTGACGTCATTGAATTGGCCCCATTTGATTGGTCAAAGTTTTCATCCGTAAGTGTTCTATCGACTTCAGCAATGAATGACTGAGCCTAAAGTTATAAATAAAGTTAGTTTAGTTTAGGTTTCGTCCTGCAGTAACACTGGATCAATAAGAGATGATCCTTACTGGACCTCTAGGAAGAACAGTTTAGAACTGATAGAGCTATATCCAGTATCAATAAAGTCAGTTTAGTTTAGGTTTCCTCCTGTAGTAACACTGGATCAATAAGAGATGATTCTTACTGGACCCTCTACGAAGAACAGTTTAGAACTGATATAGCTATCCAGTATAAATAAAGTTAGTTTAGTTTAGGTTTCCTCCTGTAGTAACACTGGATCAGTAAAAGATGACCCTTACTGGACCTCTAGGAAGAACACTTTAGAACTGATAGAGTTATCCAGTATCAATAAAGTTCATTTAGTTTAGGTTTCCTTCTGTAGCAACACAGGATCAATAAGAGATGACTCTTACTGGACCTCTAGGGAGAACAGTTTAGAACGGATATAGCTATCCAGTATAAATAAAGTTAGTTTAGTTTAGGTTTCCTCCTGCAGTAACACTGGATAAATAAGAGACGATCCTTACTTGACCTCTAGGAAGAACTCAAGAACAGTTTAGAACTGATAGAGATATCCAGTATAAATAAAGTTAGTTTAGTTTAGGTTTACTCCTGTACAGTAGTAACACTGGGTAAATAAGAGATGCATGATCCTATCCAGTATAAACAAAATTTATCATTATATTTATGTTTCCGCGCAGTACCTGATGTTCTTGAAGGAAGAAAGGGTCACTCACATCAACATCTTCCAAATCAGGTAAGTCCTAGATTTTTAAAACAAATACCGTTGGTGAAACACTTATTGATTAGCAAAAGTAGTATTAAAAAAGTAATATAAGCGTACCTCTGCAGTGAAATCGTTTTGATCGCGACTTATCTCGATAATTTCAATGTCCTCTTCTGAACAAAACAACAAAAATAAGTTGACGAAATCGGTAAATTTATCCGTATTTCCGATTGTGTAAAACAGATTGATGAGAAAATACACACCTTAAAAATTATATGCATATTTTGTATTGACATACCTGACAAGGTTGTTGTAAGAACTTGCTCAGAATTGGCAAAATTATCTTGCTCATCTGAAAAATAAACTTGGTAAAACGGCTGTCCTCGAGTGAGCAGGCCTTGCCCTGACGAAAACAAACGCGCTTGACAAATAGGGCTCCTTCTTCCACGAATTTGGAATCCTACGAAGCCATGTCCGGTTCCATACTTCGTACGGGTAAGCCTGCTTTGCGCTATCAAAGTTTCTGTGATCACAGTAGGAATTTTGCTTGGGTAAATTCTAAGTTTTGAAGGATCTGTAAGAAATGTTTGAAGAAACTGACTCACGCTTAAACACTAAAATGCACTGGCTTCAACCC